TATGCAAAGCTTCAATTTTTCCAAGATTACCACCTTAGTGATGGATTCTCACTGCCACGGATCTTCACAAGCTGCAATGCCTCTATCTCCAGAAGATGACAGATGTAGTGATACTTCAACCGAATGTGTTTGGTTCTCTTGTGAAAAGCTGAGTTGTTGACCAAGAAGATAGCACTTTGACTGTCACTGCAAAGAATGCTATTCTTGTACTCCTTCCCAAGTTCATTAAGTAAATTCTGAAGCCACACCATCTCCTTACTTGCCTCCGTAATGGCCACATATTCAGCTTACATGTGGATGGCGGTGGTGAACTTGTCACGCCCCGGACCTACCGGACACGTCAACAACCCGCCGTACAGTACGAATAGTCAACCGCAGTCCAACTCATCCATACTATACTAGGCGTCTTGAATATCATTCACAATAGTACATCCATAAACAACCATAATGTAAAGTAATCATTTAAATCAGCGGAAATGTTTAATACAAGTGTTTATGCCACACTTCGGCAACATGGGCGTACAAGCCCCAAATAACTATTCAAAACAATATCCATGAGCATTAATTTAACGTTTTAAAAATAGAACGGAGGAAGCACGAACCACGTCTTCTCTCCCTGAGCTCCCCGAAGCAACGGGCGATGGTAGCAAGCTTTACTCCCTACCTGAAACTGTGAGGTGGCCTCCCCCGTGAAGGGGAGGTCAGTACTTGGAAGCATTTGACAAGTACAATGACAACTATACTAAGTATAATCAATGTTTCAATTTCTAAGACCCTCAAAATAGGGTGATATCATAATATAAATAATAATTTATATTTCCCACTTATTATCTCTATAATAAGTAAATTCATTTATTTGTCGGCACACGGCCCATTTCATATATTTCATTATACCCGTCGTTAGCACGACACCGCCCGTAGGTCTTATCATCCTTTACGAGACTTGTCACCGCTCTCCGAGGCCTCATCGGGCCCTCGGGCCGGAGTCCAACATCCAGCCCCTGAACTCATACCCATCGTCCCGTAGGAAGGTAAGGTCCATTCGGGGTCCTATCTTATGTGTTACCGCTGTCGGGAGCCTCGTAAGGTCTCCGGTTCGGATTCCACCCTAACCCGTGATCACGATGTAAGTCCATGCTATCCAACCCCGCTCTCTAGAGTCGGGAAGGGCCATGGTCCTTACTAATTACCAATACTCTATCGGCTAATCCTTAAAGACTACCGAATACACCCGTAGGCCAATCCTATTCCTAGGATCATATTATTATTCACTTTATCTTGGGTATCCCTTAAGGCCTACCCCTAGCATCACTTATCCACCTTAGTATCTCTTAAGACTACTTAAGGCTCATCAATTTACAATCCAAACCTTGGATCAATTCTAACATATTTCATTCCAAAACCCCGACTAGTATCATAATACTAGTCGGATAAATTCCAACAAAAAGCCATTTTCAATTCATAGTCATATAGACAATTTCCAAACTAATTTTCCATTGAAAATATAGTTCATATCAACATACAAAATATAACTTTTAATCACTCATATACTCTTATATGAAGTAAAAATTATATTTCAACATATAGTTTATAGTTAATTCCTTTATCAAGCCAACACGCTTATATCACATAATCATACACAATTTATTCTTAAATTTGTATATTATGCTCCTTTCCTTATTGACAATAGTCTTCTCATTCTTAGGCATTATTAATCATTAATAATCCTTAAAAACATATTTAATTACCTTAGGTAATCTCATGAAATTAACCCAAAGATTATAAGCAATATAGTCAGCCATCCTCACCTTATGAAGTGCTGAAATAGTTGCCTTTGTTAAGCCCTCCGATCAATCCCCGTTCAAGCCGATTAGAAGTGGAAAATCCAACTAGCAGACGAAAGCCGGGCGGCTTTTGCAAAAGGTGGGCGGCTTTCGTGGTCTGCAGCTACGAACAGCCTCCTATACTTGGCGGTTTCCGGCGATTTCAACTCCTATCGATTCCACGACTCTTCTAAGTTAAATACCACCACTTTATAACATTATTCTACACTTTTAAACGTGTAGAACTTCATGTTTAATCCACCATATGATTTATTAAAAATCATACCAAATAATACTAGTTAGTTCATACTAGTTGGATTCTTACCTCAAATCCTAGCCCTTTTGTGTTGGGAATACTTCCTTCTTGCTTCCTCCAATCCTTGGACTTTTTGAGAGCTCTTCCTAGAGGTTCTTCCTTCTTGATATGGCCGAATGATTGCTATGGGAAAGGGGGAGGTATTGTATCTCAATCAAACCTCCAAGTTGAGGTGTTGATAGGCCATATGGGGTGATATTTTGTCTTGTGCAATCTCATCATCAAATAAGTCCGCCCCTCCCATGTTCACTTGCCTCAAGATTATTATTTTGAGTCTACAAGGCTTGTAGGAAAAACCCCATTTGGGTATAGAAAGTCCCTCCCAATTATTCTTGTTATCTTTTGGCAAGTTGGGTCAAAATAGTGCTCGGGTTGTCCAAATATTTTTATCAACTTTAGTTGGCATCTTGTTGGGCTTCTATAATTATCACAATGACCCAACCAATTATTTAGTAGTTCATTCTCATATACTGGACCCGATAAATAATTTAATTAATCATGCATTAATTAAATGTACCAATTCTGTCACACGAATTTATTCGCTAGGAAAATTTCAATTACATGTCGAATTTCAAATTCAAGTACATCCGGGTGCGGTGTCACAGAACTGGTCTTGGCCGGGGTTACTCTGGCCGGGTCACGGGGATGCCGGAAAAAATCATTGGAAAATTTTCCGACAACACAGTGACATGTTTCGCGGCGGCAGTGACACTCTAAAGTGACATGAAAGCTGATAGTGACATTCAAAAGTGACATAAAAATCTGACAGTGACATGCGAAGTTTAAAAGTGACATATTAATCTGACAGTGACATCATGTTATTCCAAATATGTGACCTTCTTAGTCACATTTTTGTCCTTTTATAAAATTGTCACATTTTTGAAAATTAGCCTTACTTTGGTAATATTGAAGGAAAAAACCTTAGATCTTTATGGGTGTATCCACAATGGATTATGATTTCAAAATTGTTGGCCTCGATGGTGGGTGCCTCAATGCTATTTCTCGTCACATAGTTAGGTGTCAATGTATGTAGAGTTGTGTCCTCAACCAATTTATTCAAGTCTTCTAACAACCGCCTTTTAGCTCTTCCTCGGAATAAACGATCAGGATTAGAATACCCTTCAATTAGATCTTGTTCACCCGAGGAGCGAGTGTGCATACACTGGTTCTTGCAGCTTAGTTCACTTGCAACAAACACCAAAAACGACAAAAATAACAAGAAAAAAACATAAAGACTCGTTGACTTGTTTTTACCTATTCCACAGAAAGTACTTAACAAACAACTGTGCATGGCTAATCTGGAGAATAACCAAACCACGAGTATCGTCTCTCAAGGAGTGGCAAAAAGTAAGTTTTAAATACGATCCGTGATCAGAGGCTAGCACGAGTCATGGTAATCTTTCCAAATTGGATGGTTCAGATTCTGGATGTTTTTTCGGGATTAGAATTAAGTAAATTAATTTTCAATTATTCCTGGACAAAAAAATTAATCATTTCCCATAGATAAGAAGTATCATATTATCACAATCCTAACTTATTTGTAAGATCATATTGCTTGTATAAGACTCAAACTAATTTAACTCAATTTTCATCGACATGAATTAAATTAAATTCGGACATTCATATATGAGGTCATCAAATTCATATAGACAATTATGATTAATCTTATACAACTTTCCAGAAAATTAATTGAATTTCAAAAACTAAATTCACACCCTCAACAACCGATGACCTTAGCCCCAATTTGAACCCTATATGGAATTAGTTACTCATACTTAAAATTAATATCACAATAAAATTGATTAACATGATGAGTAGCCAGAAATAAAAACTGAATTGTGAGTATTTAATGGGGACAGGGACGGATCCAGGATTCTGAGTCAAGGGGGGCGAAATTTTTCATTAGTGTAGGGGGTGAATTTTTTTTTGTTAGTGTAGCGGGGTGAAATTTTTTCCCCTAGTATAGCGGGGCAAATTTTTTTCGCTATTGTAGGGTTGTGCGGCTATTTTTATTCAAAAAATGATATTAATTCATGCACATCCTGAACGACATTTAAATCTATTACATTCTAAGTTTAGGCGATGACAAAGACATCAACCAATACATTTTTAATAACTTCTACATTATTTAACCTCATGAATCGGTTATTGAATTGTAATTTTTGTCCACCAAGGAGGGTGTTCGTGAGTCATGACTCATGAGAAGTTTTCTTAATATTACAATAGTAGTATACTAATATGTATGAGATTGTAATTTTTAGAATAATATGCACACACACACACACATATATATGGTGCATATTATATTTTAATATTTTTATTAATTCTATAATAATTTAGAGTTTATTATCCATGCAATAAATTATTTTTAGAAAGAAAGAAGTAAATGAATTATGTAATCTAATGTCTATAAATATTTATATTTTGGATTCATTTCACGTGATCTAAAAATTGTGTAATTAGTATGTCTGGTATTTAATATTGTTTGATATATGTTTTACGAAATCCAGTACTTGTTATCTAATAAAGATAATTAAACATTACAAAACTAGGAATTCTTATATAATAAGTATCCTAAATCTTAAATAACGAGTTACTCTATTGTTTATTAGTTTAAGTTATGTAAATTATTTTAGATGTTTCTTCTTTTAAATCTCCAATTAAGTATTACATTATGTAAAACTATATATATTAATTTTGAAAATTAAAAGCTAAGGGGGGCGAATCTAATTAAATTATGAAAGTTTTATGAAAATATTACATATATGGTAAAAAAAATTGAATGTCCAAGGGGGGCGGTCGCCCCCCGCGCCCCCCCTAAATCCATCCCTGCCTATCAGCCTCCAAGGATCCTAGCAAGCGGCTAGAAGGCCTCAAGGCATAACGAGTCTGATTCTTCTTTCTCATTTTCAATGAAGCTAGCTTCTTCATCTCCCTCTGGGCAATTCTTAGATCAAGTTGTATCATATTGATATCTTCTTAAATGTTTCTGTTAAAGCATCTCTAATCACCATCTATCACCACTGAAAGCTAAGCTTTCTCGCTAGCAAATCAATCTGTATTGTCTCCCCATAGGATGATCAGTGGGCTTAACTGTATTTCTCCATCAGACTGTATTTCTCCATCAGAGGGCATCCATATCAACCCATAATGTTAGTTCTCTCCGAGGTCGGCTGAGAAACACTTTTTAGGCTTATAATGTGTTTGGATTAGTATTTTCAGTTATTTGAAATATTAGACTAAAAATAGGTGAACAACATTTATAATATTCTCTGTTGAGTTTTTCTCGAGGCTAGGTTCACATAGAACTACTACTCCCCCGAGAAAAAAGAACATTAGAACTAAGAAACTTCTTTATCCAAATAGAAGAACAGAGGCGTAACTTTAGACTATTCTTTTTCATTTTTAGTTAGCTTGTTGTTTTCTTTGGTAGTAAATAGAAGTTGGAAATGATTAAAGCCTGAGTTTCAGGAGGAGTGCAGATTTATAATTCCAGTAAGCATTTTCCTTTGTTTGTAACTACACTATCAGAACTTTGTGGAAGTATGATAGGCTCGTTCTGTTCCTATCTTTCCACTATCCACTCATATTTGTTTCTATTCTTTCATCAGAGCACAAATCAGCAGCCACAGAAGGGGAATTCCTTTCGTTTATGGTCAATTAGCCGCAACAACAAGTTTTCTTCCTTCTCCTATACAAGCAGCCGCAGCAGGCAGAAATAAAAAAGGACATCAGCAGATTTTTCTTCCTCTTTTCAATGCAAATAGCATCAGCAGCATCCAAGAACCAAGGAGGGCTTCTATGCTTCTCTTTCAATTTCTTCCAATCTAGTTTAGATTTCAGCAAGTATTGTAAGTTTAATCATCTTACATTACTAGTTCTTGATTTTGGATTGAATTTCGAATTTGTTTATCTCCAACTAGTAATTTCAGAATTTCCCCATAGTGATAGGACCAATTTTATTTGTTGATTTTTTTCTCATACAATTGATTTCTTGTCATTTTGGGTCTTATTATCATTCACTTTTGAGAATTTGTTACTAATTATGTGTAAACTACTCTATCAACCCATCTGTTTCTTTGATAGCTAACAGAACTGCTTGGAACAACTCTATTACGGACCTAGCCCATACTAGGCCCATACTGATGTCATGAGCCCAGATGTAGAACTCACTCCCAAAAGACCAGCCGATTAGAAGGGAACACCTTGCTTATAAGCCACCGGTCAAGCCCATACATGACCGTTGTGGGATCGTAACAAACTCAGCCTACATCTTTTCTGTATCTTCCAGCAACAATTTTCACATTCTGAACCATCAAAATTTCATCCTTGACTAAAATTAGTTGGGGAGCTATTGGTGATCAGTTTCTCATGTCAAAGACTCAAAATTCTGCACAAGGCTTCTTATTTAAATATGATATGAAGCGGGAAGAGCATGTGGCGGGACCGAGCTTGGGCCCACTTCCGTGGGCCGGTTAGGGGCTGAGTTTTTAATTTAACTTTTAGCTTCAATTAAGTTAGTTCTTTTATTATTATTATTTATTATTTTATATTAGAATTCACTTAGGATAGGGACGTATGATTTACGTAAGTCTTTCCCCACCCCTTAGGCTTTGTGCGTGAGTCTGCTTCCCACCGGGAGAGGGCTACGTACAATTAATTTAATAGCTGATTTAGTTTCCTACTGGAACTAAAATATTTGGAGTACGATTAATTGTATTATTTATACCCACGCAGGGCTGTTCTGTCGGCCGCCAATCAATAAAATTGAGATTTAGTTAAGCTAAAGTAGCTTGGGCAACGGATTCTTCCGTTGATTATTCTGGGCAACGGTTCACCCCGTTGATTGTTATTTTTCTGTTCTTATCAATTGGTCCGACCTGCCGGATCCCGTCCCGCCAAGATGACGAGATCTCAGAATGATCGATTGACAGAGCTGGAGAACGAACAAACTCGTATGAGAGAAGAAGTGACCCGGATAAGGGCCGAACAGGCAGAGCATGGTGGCAAGCTGTCGGAGATCATCGCCTCACTAGCGGCGTTGACCCAGGCGATGGTCCCGCCGGTCACACCGAAGAAAGCCGCGGATGACGTGGGTCGAATCCCGGCAACCGAGCTGCATGGAGAAGGCGTGCTGAGCAATCCAACTATAACGCTGCTTCCGTCGTTCGATGGGGGAGACCCAATTGGGTGGATCGCTCGGGTAGAGCAACAGTTCGAATTACACAACACTTTACCGGAAAACAAGGTGGCTGCCGCGATGGTAGCTATGGAAGGAGGAGCGCTTTACTGGGTGACTTGGCTGAGATCGCGCAGGCCCGGGATGACTTGGGCAGATTTCAAGCAAGCCTTGGTGGACAGATTTGATTCTCGATTTCAGGGGAATAAGTATGAACGATTGTCTGGAGTAAGGCAAATTGGGTCTATAAAAGATTACAATATCTTGTTTGTTCAGCTAGCAAGCCAAGTTCTAGGGTTACCCGATGAGCACTATTTGGGATATTACATGAGCGGTCTTAAGGAGATAATCCGAAGCTCGCTGCGATTGCTCCGACCAAACAACCTGGAGATGGCTATGGAATTAGCTCGCGAAGTGGAGTATAATCTGTTCGTCCAAAGTGGAGAAAGTGGCAGCCTAAATTATCATTCATCGGGAGTACGTTCTAGCAGCCTCTTAAGGGCAAACGCAGGTTCCCCGTTGACTGCCGCTGGTGGCAGCTTACAGGGTTCGGAGGGCAGCTTTGCGAAAGATAGTGGACAGCCTCCGGGGACAAAGCCAGGTCTGTCCGGGCAGCCTATGACACGCTCTCAGTTCACTCGACTACCGCCAAAAGAGTTTGCAGAATTGAGGGCGAAAGGATTATGCTTTAGGTGTAAGAAACCATTTACGCCAACACATGATTGCCCCTTTAAGCAGTTGCGAGTAATGTTAGCTGAGGAGGATGAAGAGTTGGACCTCAAGCAGTATGAATTCTGTGAAATAACTGGCCAGGAAAGGGTTCAGGAAAGAGAAGAAGAATATTTTCCAGTCTATTCTATGTCTGGAAATTTCAGTTCCCGATCCGCGAGTTTTCAACCTTGAGGACAAGGTTATTTTAAGGGGGATGGATTGATATGAAGCGGGAAGAGCATGTGGCGGGACCGGGCTTGGGCCCACTTCCGTGGGCCGGTTAGGGGCTGAGTTTTTAATTTAATTTTTAGCTTCAATTAAGTTAGTTCTTTTATTATTATTATTTATTATTTTATATTAGAATTCACTTAGGATAGGGACGTATGATTTACGTAAGTCTTTCCCCACCCCTTAGGCTTTGTGCGTGAGTCTGCTTCCCACCGGGAGAGGGCTACGTACAATTAATTTAATAGCTGATTTAGTTTCCTACTGGAACTAAAATATTTGGAGTACGATTAATTGTATTATTTATACCCACGCAGGGCTGTTCTGTCGGCCGCCAATCAATAAAATTGAGATTTAGTTAAGCTAAAGTAGCTTGGGCAACGGATTCTTCCGTTGATTATTCTGGGCAACGGTTCACCCCGTTGATTGTTATTTTTCTGTTCTTATCAAAATACCAGCTCCGCGTAGAAGGAAAATAGAGAGAAACAAAGGAGGTAGAGAAGGTGGGAATCAGCAAGTTCCTGAAGTATCATCTCAGTTCTTCATTCTATGTCGATTACTTGGTTTTATTTCCAGACTTTATAGCTTTTACATTGTATTTTTATAACTTTTCCCTTATTTATTGCTCTTTAAAGTATTTCTTTCCTTCTTTAAGTATGATTATTAGCTTGGTTGGGGATTAATGATTGGTATGAAACTATGAATTGATTAATCCTTGTTGTTTAGTTCTTTCATGTCAATGGATATACTAATGTCAATTAAATTTATTTTATGTGTCTTATCCATGACTTTTGCATGGAGCTCGTGCTTAATTCTTTTTGTTGGATATCATGACTGAAGCATGATACCTGAATTCCTGAAACATGTACATAAACAAAAACAAAAACTAACACAGTAGGATATTTGTAGTGGAATTCAATTGTTGATTATTGGACTAGTTAATTTTTGTGTGAGATCGATGGTGGATTAGTGCTATCTTAGCGTACATGCTAATAGGTTAACACAGTGTTAGACTACCTTATGTTAGAACAGGAGGATAAAAATAGTAAAATATAAGGGTGTAAATATGGCTGGATTGGATATTACTTCTAGTCACGTATAAAATACGCTTTCCTAAAAGTTTATTATATACTCTTATCACGTTAACCGGGTTACAAGATAGAACTTTTGGGTTAAAAAGAAGGTGTACAATGTATTTTGGCTACTGACAAAATAACACTAGTTTCCTTAGAATCAATTGTCACTTTAATTGCTTGAATCAAACACATAGGTTTTCTTTAAAGTCGAGTGAATCCTAGTCCTTGGGACAGTTAATCTATTGTTAAGTTGAATTATTCTCGGTGTGTTTCCTTTTACCAGTTTCCTTTCTACACACAAAATAAAGCAAAACAAAACAAAACAAAAACATTTCCCTTGAATTAATAGAAAAATAAATCATAAACATTCAATTTAACCTCGTTGTAGGTCGAACATAGAGTACTACGTAGTACTCCCTCCGTCCCGAAAACAACTTCCCACTTTCCTTAAATGGATGTCCCAAAATTAACTTCACACTTCAATACTTTCCTTATTTGGCAAATTATCTACATCAAAAAAGTGATAAACAGTGTAAAACAGTGTTTAAACAGTGCCAAACAGTGTTTAAACAGTGCCAAACAGTGTTTAAACAGTGCCAAACAGTGTTTAAACAGTGCAAAACAGTGCATTCTACAGTAAAGTCAAATTTATTTCCTTAAAGTGTGTGAAAGTCCAACCGGGAAGTTGTTTTCGGGACGGAGGGAGTATATATTTAGAAATTTGTTTAAGGTACGCCCTATATAGGTACACCCTATATAACCCCCTCCCCGTTACATTCAGGGGTACACCCTATATAACCCCCTCCCCGTTTTTTACTTCCACCCTCCCCACTTCTTTCTCTCCCCCTTCCTCCCCTCTTGCATCATACGAAAACCATTCTCTCTTTTTTCTTTCTTTCTTCTTCGTCATCACCATCATCTTCTTCTTTTTCTTTCCTTCTCTCTTTTTCTTTCTTTTTGCGTTTTATTCACCATTACCTTCCATCATCATCTTCATCTTCCATCACCATTTTCACCGGAAACTCACTGGAAAATTTTTCGGAAACACACTGGAAAATTAGAGTCGCCTGAATTTTCGTTTGTATGGTGCTAAATAATGATAAATATTATAACACTGATTTTCTTTCAGTGTCTGTGTACACAGACAAAAAATGTTTTAAAAAATCAGGGTTAGAGTGCATCGAAACAAATGTCTGTGTACACAAACAAAAAATTTACATGTACAGGCACTTTTTGTCTACACATACAATTAATGTCTGTGTACACCGACATTGATTTCTGTGCAATCACCCTAACAAATCTGCAAAATGGTACATCAATCAGCATACCAATTTTTGTTCACACAGACAATTTTGTCGAAAGTGTCTGTATTTGTACCTTTTTTGTCTCTGTGAATGGCAAATAAAAAGGTGTACCGCATGGTGTATGTACACAAAAAATGATTGATATATTTAACGGATTTGTACACTTACCCCAAATAAGTGGTCAAGGGCAATCAATAATAATTCTAAACTCTATGAATGAACACAAAACTTCAGAATGGGAGTGAAGTTCATTTTGTGCGTCATTCTGTATGTTTTCTTTGGTAAGAAAACCTGAGTTTTGCACATCAGCATAACCTTGAAAGTAGTCATTTGGATATTCACAAAAAGATAGCACTACACAGTCTACCCCGCGCCCACCGCGCTGAAATTGCTGTTGTCCGCTGCTGGATGTCGCGGCTGCAGCACCCCCGGATGAGGAAGAAGCGGCAAAGGCAGGAGATCCAACGGTGGATTCCAACCGTTGTTGTAACTGAAGACGGGCCTCTTGTTGAACAAGTTTGGTGCATAAAGAATCAAACGTGAGGCCTTCGGGAAACAAGGTGAGTGGCCCCACAAGTGATTCATAACCCGGACCCAATCCCATAAGAGCATATTCCAAGAGATCATGATTGGGGACTGGCGAATTAATGGAGGCTAAATTTTCAGCAATTGTTTGAAGTTCACCTAAATATTGATCCATGGTTTGATTTGGCTTTTTCTTGGTATGGGTTAACATTTGTTTTAATTCCATGGATCTAGCCAGACTGGCTGCCATAAATCGGGATTCTAATCTCTGCCATATGGCATTCGAATTTTTCAAGGAGTGAACCTCCATTAGAATTTCCCTAGACAACGTAGCAAATAACCAAGAACGAACAGTCTGATCTAATTTCAACCAGTGGTAGTACTCCGGATTAATATTTTGGTTTTGATATAAATCATAAGAATAAGGAGGCGGAGCCGGAAGGGAACCATCAAGTATACCCAAGAGTCCGTTTGAGACAAAAAAGGACTCAAATTGAGTACGCCACGGTAAATAATCTTCTACCTTCAACAATTTAATTGTAACGATGGTAGTGATAGAAGAAGCACCAAAACACATACCTTGTGCCAGAGCAGCATATGACGTAGGTAAAGTCACTGTTGGAGGCCGATGTCCAACCGGTCTGGCGGTAGGAGGTGGTAAAACCAGCCCCGGTTGGCCCGAGAGAGTCGTGCCAGCAAACCGATGATTTCCGGCAACACTAGATTCAACAATATGTGAGTCGTGGGGCTGCAGCGGATGAAGCGTCGGGACTGTCGGAGTCCACGTAAAAATTGGAGGCACCCACGTGGAGGAAAAGCCAATAGAGGTGATCGCCGAAAAGGGCTACTCGTCGGTGAAGGACGGCGCCATGACGCCGGAGGAGAACGGCGGTTCGGTGTCGGCCGCGCTTGTGGTCAGGGTTTCCATCACCGGCGGTTGTCCGGCGGCAGTGATGGTAGGAACGGCGGCGGCAGATGTGGCGTGAGGGGAGGAAGCCATCGGTCCGGAAAAAAAATATTATAACTGACTAAAACCTAGAGCTCTCAATACCATGTGAGAATAATTGGGAGGCTTATCCAAGTGGTAGCCCTAGATGTCATATATATAATAAAAGGTGTTCTGAGTACATAAGGAAACATACAAAATATGGAAACCTAATTAAAGTATTAATTACTCTATTAGTAGTGTCCAACTGTCCATCATGAAAAATCTGGATCTGGGAGTTGCCTGAAAAACGTTGATCAAATGTGTCAAGAGCCTTTTCTCTAAGATTGGTTTAGGATGTTTTTACTTGGACTGTAATTTGCTGGTCTGGTCTGATCTGGTCTGATCTGGTCTGGTCTGGTCTGAACTGGTCTGGTCTGGTCTGGTAAGGTCTGGTTTCTTTGTATTTTTATAACTATCCAAGTCTGGTCTGGTCTGGTCTGGTCTGAACTGGTCTGGTCTGGTCTGGACTGGTCTGGTCTGGTCTGGTCTGGGACAAATTACAGTCCAAGTAAAAACATCCTTAGTAGTACTTTAACATATGTGGGATGGAAATTGAAGTAAGTTACGGGACATATTGCAAATGCAGACATATACCTCCGGAGAAGAAATATTTCTAACGGTGATGTTGCTTAGAAATTTTGTTACGAGGCAGTGAAGATTGGGATGACAAAGATTAAGAGAGAGATAGTAATTTGGGCATCATTCATGAGATTATATATTAGGGATAATTTTGATGACATGGCTAGTTATTTCTGAGAACATGATTGAGTGAAAGAGATTATTTCACATAATTATTTGGTATAATCAGATATCAAAATATGATCTAGACTATGAGATTTTTTATGAAATTAGAGTCGATTAGTTAATGCATGACCCACAAATGATCAGATTATTCTGAGATAATAGTTGAATGTAATTTAGGGGGATGTCCTCAATTAGAATTTCATAAGATTTTAAAGGATTAAGATTTCAATTGATTTTTATGGAATTGTACTGAGATTCTAATAAAATCCATGGAATTTGAAATCTCATCCCAAGTCTTTCCGGGAATTTGGTCGGCTTCTTTATCCTTAACATGTGGGTCCTTTAACTTCAATCGTCTCTTCGGCTTCGACTTAGGATGTTTTTATTTGGACTGTAATTTGTCCCAGACCAGACCAGACCAGCAAATTACATCCTTATCCGTAAAAGGACTCCAACAAAAAATGACGAACCAAACAAATCCATGGGCGTAGCTAGGGGCCAGCCTAGGCCCCAGTCTAGCATAAATTAAAAAAAAATGTCTGAAATATTGTGTAATATATTTTGTGTTGAAATTTTTCTAAAAACAATTGTACACGTCCAACCCAATTTGAGTGCCGCTTACGCCACTGATTAAGTAGAGGGTGTGAGATTATCTCTAAAATACTTATGTTCCATTATTTCAAATGTAAAATCATATAAAAATGATTATGCGGGAAGCATGAAAATGAGGATGCTCGTAGGAATTGAAGCTACTACACCAAAAGGATTAAATGGGGGTCAAAGTGCGAATGTAAATATGTAATGCTTGAAACATTACATATCTCATATTCAGTTGGAAAACTTGTGTCCTAACATAAATTTTGAGAGCGGAATACTTTGGAATTGAATGGCGCTCTGCCTAAGTTTCGCATGTAAGGAGAGTGATTGACCATTTTGAGTCTCCAACCAAAAATATCAGTGATAGAAGATTAAAGGGTCTACTTTTTTTATGAATCTTGAAGCTCTAGTTTTAATCGACGCCCTTCATTAGTTCATTTGAGTAAGGCACTATGCCTTAAGGT